AAGCTCGTAATCTTGCATCAAGCCCACTGCTGCGACTGCACCGCGAGTGATCCTCTGAGCGCCTCTCGAACCAGCATGTACGGTCCGTCTGGCGGCTACACCTGCTACTATGACTGCACCGAGTGCACCGAAGCCATGTCGCCGCCCCCGCCGCTCTCACCATCGCCTTCACCGCCGCCGCCCTCGCCGCCGCCCTCGCCGCCGCCATCGCCGCCGCCACCCTCCACTCCTCCCTCGCCTGGGGCCACCTGCCTTGCCGGCGCCATCGACCTCGACTTCTTCAGCTCCTCCCTCACCTCGAACAACCTCGGAGGCGTCGGGCCGAACTCAGGCGACCCGGAGCAGATGCGCTTCTCGCCGGTCGGCTCGATCAACGGTGCCAGCTTCGACCTCGTCGTCACTGTTGCGCCCGGAAGCAACTACAACTGTGCGTCGCCCTGCACCCAGAACAAGCTCAATGGCAAGTTCGGACAGATCCGGCTCCTCTATGCCGACCCGCTCGGCGTGGCGACGCTGCGCTTCTCCTTCGTCGACACGGCCACCGGCGCGTCGGTGACGGTCCCCTCCTTCTACTTCAGCTTCTTTGACCTCGACATGCGCGACGGCAACGGCGACAGGTCCGAGGCGGTGGGAGTGAAGGGGAGTGACATCGCAGGATACATGCTCGACCCGAGCACCGAGGTGAGCGTGGCGTGCAACGACGGCAGCTGGGGCTCCGGCGGCGCGCTGCACGTGGCGCCCTGCTTGTCGGGTGAGGAGATCGTCTTCAGCGCGACAACGTACGGCGAGCCCGCCGACAACCCGACCGACCCCTCGGCAATGACGGGAGAGCAGCTGGCCCGGTCCGTGCGACTCGCCTTCGTGGACAAGGCCTCGTTCGACGTGACGATGTACGCGCCGTGCTCGCTGGGAGGCGGCTGCAGCGGAGGCCCGCACATCTCCTTTGCCGGCGACGTGGCGCAGATGAGCTCCGTGTGTCCGCCGTTTGCCCCGCCCCCTCCGTCGCCGCCCTCTCCGCCACCCTCGCCGCCGCCGCCCTCGCCGCCGCCCTCGCCGCCACCCTCGCCGCCGCCGCCCTCCCCTCCTCCCTCGCCTGGGGCCACCTGCCTTGCCGGCGCCATCGACCTCGACTTCTTCAGCTCCTCCCTCACCTCGAACAACCTCGGAGGCGTCGGGCCGAACTCAGGCGACCCGGAGCAGATGCGCTTCTCGCCGGTCGGCTCGATCAACGGTGCCAGCTTCGACCTCGTCGTCACTGTTGCGCCCGGAAGCAACTACAACTGTGCGTCGCCCTGCACCCAGAACAAGCTCAATGGCAAGTTCGGACAGATCCGGCTCCTCTATGCCGACCCGCTCGGCGTGGCGACACTGCGCTTCTCCTTCGTCGACACGGCCACCGGCGCGTCGGTGACGGTCCCCTCCTTCTACTTCAGCTTCTTCGACCTCGACATGCGCGACGGCAACGGCGACAGGTCCGAGGCGGTGGGAGTGAAGGGGAGTGACATCGCAGGATACATGCTCGACCCGAGCACCGAGGTGAGCGTGGCGTGCAACGACGGCAGCTGGGGCTCCGGCGGCGCGCTGCACGTGGCGCCCTGCTTGTCGGGTGAGGAGATCGTCTTCAGCGCGACAACGTACGGCGAGCCCGCCGACAACCCGACCGACCCCTCGGCAATGACGGGAGAGCAGCTGGCCCGGTCCGTGCGACTCGCCTCGCCCTCGGGTCGAGCATGTATCCTGCGATGTCACTCCCCTTCACTCCCACCGCCTCGGACCTGTCGCCGTTGCCGTCGCGCATGTCGAGGTCAAAGAAGCTGAAGTAGAAGGAGGGGACCGTCACCGACGCGCCGGTGGCCGTGTCGACGAAGGAGAAGCGCAGCGTCGCCACGCCGAGCGGGTCGGCATAGAGGAGCCGGATCTGTCCGAACTTGCCATTGAGCTTGTTCTGGGTGCAGGGCGACGCACAGTTGTAGTTGCTTCCGGGCGCAACAGTGACGACGAGGTCGAAGCTGGCACCGTTGATCGAGCCGACCGGCGAGAAGCGCATCTGCTCCGGGTCGCCTGAGTTCGGCCCGACGCCTCCGAGGTTGTTCGAGGTGAGGGAGGAGCTGAAGAAGTCGAGGTCGATGGCGCCGGCAAGGCAGGTGGCCCCAGGCGAGGGAGGAGTGGAGGGTGGCGGCGGCGATGGCGGCGGCGAGGGCGGCGGCGAGGGCGGAGGCGGTGAAGGCGATGGTGAGAGCGGCGGGGGCGGCGACATGGCTTCGGTGCACTCGGTGCAGTCATAGTAGCAGGTGTAGCCGCCAGACGGCCCGTACATGCTGGTTCGAGAGGCGCTCAGAGGATTACTCGCGGTGCAGTCGCAGCAGTGGGCTTGATGCACGCCCCAGCCGCCGTGGGCACTTACTGTGCACAGGTAGAGGGTCCCAACTGGAGCGTCCGATCCACCAGTGACGGAGAGGTCGCTGTGCCTCTGCGTCGCTGTGATGACGTACTGCCCGCCGACGTACTCGTACACCTCATATGGTGAATCGTGCGGGCCCAAGCTGGTCTTGACCCCCGAGACGACGCTGCTCGGGCATAACGGTGGCGCCCTCGGCGGAGATGGTGGGGAGGGTGGCGGCGACGGTGGCGGATCGATGCACGCAGCCAGCTTGACGTAGTGAAGGAAGTCTCCGTTGTCCTTCTGATTGACGTTGACCCCTCCGTTGTCCTGCCACAGCCGGCAGGTGCGAACGTTGTCATTGTAGAAGAACTCCCGGCACCCACCCTCGGCCATGCAGAGCTCCGCGCACACGTTGGCGTCCACTACAGTTATCTTCTCCCCGATTAGCCCGCTGTGTCGATCCACTTCTCTCTGCAGCCTCCGTCCTTCACCACCCCACCCCCTTTAAAGCAGTTTCCTGCCCCAAAGTTGGACAGGGCCCCCCTTCCCTTCCCCCGGCGGCCGGCGGGTGGGTGACCGGTCGCTTTAAAGAAAGTTTAGGGGGCCGGCTCTGGGCCCAAAAAAAGGGGAGCCTTGAAACCGCCCCATGTTTTCCGTTTGGGC